AGCTGAAGGCCATTCCCAGCTTCTGGAAGCCACCTGTATTCTTATTAATGTGCACCCCCCCCTGCCTTTTTCCCCATCTTCAAGGATAGGAACAGTGGGTCCAGGCCCCCTCACACTTTGAAACCCTCTTCCTCCTTCCCCTCCTCCTCCTGTTTCTTCCCTTTGATTCAGCAAGAAAAGCTTCTCTGCTTTTAAGGACTCATGTGATTAGGTTGATAATCCAGGATAATCTGCTCCATCCCAAGGCCCATACCCTTAATCAACATCCTCAAAAACCCTTTTGTCGTTTAAAGTACCCTATTTATAGGTCCTGGGAGTTAGAGTCTAGACATCTTTGGGGGATATTTTCCTGCCTGTCGTATTGTGTGCTTTTGTTGACAGGACAGCAGGAGTTATTACTGCCAGCCTGGCTACAAGCATTCAGATCAATATACCTGAGAAAACGGGATTTAGCTGGGTGTTGTTCTAAATGAAAATCATTTCAGGTGGAAGGAGACCCTCATTGTTATACAAAATTACATATAAGAGGTTGTGAGGGGAATGGGAAAAAAAATAAGGAGAGAAATGAATTACAGTAGATGGGGTAGAGAGAGAAGATGGGAGGGAAGGGGAGAGGGGGGATAGTAGAGGATAGGAAAGGTAGCAGAATACAACAGTTACTATTATGGCATTATGTAAAAATGTGGATGTGTAACCGATGTGATTCTGCAATCTTTGTAATGTTTTGAATAACCAATAAAAAAAAATCATTTCAGGGCCAGATTTCAAAGCCAAGTTTAGCTTCAGGACTCTTGCCATCCAGCAGACCTGTGTATGCATCAACCCTTGCTTTTGTGCGTAGGAAACGGAGGGAATTTACTTGGTGCCTGCTTCAGGAAATAAAAAAATGGCTGTGTGATAGGCCCCCGCAGGCAGCCAGCTTCTTGGCTCTGCTCACTCGTGGCCTGCCATGTGCTCCTGGCTTCCGCACCTTCATTCCTACCCTCTGTGTACTCCCATAATAATTCATATTTATGGCAAGCTTTGACACCCACTTATTTTAGGAAACATTTCCCACGATGCTAAAAGTATGGCATCTACTCATTTTTTTTTTTCCGATAGTTAAATTAAAATAAATTGAATCCTTGGCATCTGGCTCTTTCTGAGTTCTCTGTGATCTCTTCCTTCATAAACCTGTGAAGTGTTAGAGAAGCCCCTGCAGCATCCTGGACATAATAGTTACTCAGTAACCACTAATGGAATTACTAAATTGAGGAAATAGATTATATTATCAATACACCAGAATTTGAAAAATATATGTATTTGTTTCCTCTTAAAAGATTGCTAAGAATGTCTAATGTATGTGAGTAAAACTGGGAATGTTAGAGATGAACTTTCCAGTTCATATTTTACTGAATATTATGTGAATTCATATTTGGTCAGATTACCTAGTATTTGGGGGGCAAGGGAATGGACTTCTTTTTTTTCTTTCCATTTCAAACCTTTAATTGACTTAGGCTCTATATGCAGGAAAAAAAATACAGTTTGTAAAAATTCATTAAATCATATATTTAATATATTTACAATACTTTTTTTTTTTGGTACTGGGAATTGAACCCCGGGGGTGCTTAACAAATGAGACATATCCTCAGCCCTGTTTTATGTTTTATTTAGAGACAGAGTCTCCCTGGGTTGGTTAGGGCCTTGCTAAATTGCTGAGACTGGTTTTGAACTTGTGATCCTCCTGCCTCAGCCTCCTGAACTGCTGGGATTATGGGCATGCACTATCATGCCCAGCTGGCAATACAAATTTCCAATTAAGTGTATATGAGTTTGCAGCTGGCCTGAGGATGCATTTAAACATGAAACAGAGCATTATTTTCCAATTGTTTTTGCTTTATCAAATAGTTTGAGTTACATATACAACTTTAACTCCAGGTTTGTTTTCTAATACTTTCTAATACTTATTGAGTTCCTGTGATCATTCAAAATGCTTTCACCTCAAATATCCAAAGGTTGTTATAACTACACCATACACCATGCTCTTGGTCCTGATCAATGACTTGGCACCATGTTACTCTCTACGTAGTTGTTGTTTTTGAGGTGGTGTCTTGCTGTATTGACCAGGCTGATCTTGAACTTCCAGGCTCAAGTGACCTTCCTACTTCATCCTCCTAAGTAGCTGGGACTATAGGCACTTGCCACCAGGCCCAGTTCTTCATCATATTTTTAATTGAGATCAAATCTGCATATTTTCTCTAGAATTTTGGTTGAGGCTCATAGTTTCTGTCATAAACACAACTGGCTGCCCCACAGTGCACACTTTACTTATCCACCATACCCCTATACAACAAGGTAGAAATTCATATAACGAAATGAAATAGATAAAATATTATAGAAATTAGATTCAGGGCTATAATGTCCTCCTTTGCCCATCCAGTTTCTCTGTTCAAGGATGTTTGCTGAAGCATTATTTCTAGGAACACATCCATTGGAAACTGGCTTAGTTACCAACTTGAGTGCTTTAGTTATGGTAGAGTTATAATTCTACTATGAAGCATGAAAGTAATGTTTTCAAAAAATATCTCATGAAATACCAAATTTCTTAATCATGGTAGGTAAAACATAGCAAATACCAACTGTGTTAAAAAAAAAAAAGTATACCCAGGTGCATACAGCAAAGATGGGAAGTTTATAACATAACTAGCTCTGGTTATTTCTGAATAGTATGCTTGAGAGCGATTTTAATTTTATAATCTTTTCATTTTGTATATTTTCAAAAATCAGAAAATAATCATGCAGGATCCATATTTAGAAAGGACTACCTAGGGCAGATAAATTGACCTTTTTTTTTTTTTCCTATGAAGAAAAGTCCTTGGGGAAATCAGACACAGATAATCCATGTTTTCTCTGGGAGGTTAGCAGGGTTCCCCACAATAGCAGCAGGATGACAGACATCCGTGAATGGTCTTCTTGAAATAATAAAATTTTCAATGCAAGAAGTCAATGCTATGGTTTGGACCTGGAATGTCCTGTCTTTGGAGGACATGTCAAAAGCATGGTGCTCGATGTAACAAAGTTCAGGGATGAGGCTTTTAGGTGATGCTTGGATCATGAGAGTTCTGACCTCATGGATCAGACCTGATCCAGGCGTGGACCATGAAGCTCTGACCACCATTGAAAGCTGAATGGACTCCTGAGACCCTGGCGCCTAGTTGGGGCAGTAGATTACTGGGGTCATGCCCTGGAAGGGTTTTCTTTTGCCACACCCTTCTGCTATGGTCTCCTGCCTCACCTCAGGCCCAGAGAAATGGAGCCAGCTGACCATGGTCTGAACCTCTGCAACCATGAGCCAAAATAAACTTTCCTCCCCTCTAATTTGTTCTTACTGGGTATTTTGGTCATGACGATGAAAAGCTGTCACCTCTTCCTCTGTACTCCCAAAATATACTTTGAACCTTTGTTGAAGAAGGCCCAGTAAAGAGAACCTCAGGTCTGGTGTGGTGGTACACGCCTGTAGTCCCAGCTTTTAAGAAGACTGAGACAGGACAATTGTAGTTTTGAAATTTGGCAATTTAGTGAGATCTTGTCTCACAGCAAAATAATTTCTTTTAAAAAGGCCTAAGATGTGGCCATGGTAGAGCACTTGCCTAGCAGACGTGAGGCACTGGGTTCCATCCCCGGCACCACATACAAATAAACAAATAAAATGATATTAAAAAAAAAGGCTCAAGATATAGCTCAGTGGGAAAGTGCTTGCCTAGCATGTTTAATGCCCTGCAATCCCAGGTACTGCGAACAAAACAAAAACAAAAAAGTCCTATAAATGAACAAAACACCCTCAGTGTTCCAGAGTTCATCTGGATTGACTCTGAACCACACAGACAGAATATTTTTCCTTATATTTATGCCTAACTTGTTTCGTGGTAAAGTTCCTAAGTCTACCAGCTTGTGGCCATATGGAGCAAGAGTAAGCCTTTAAATAGTTAAGCACTTGTGTGTATTTTTAGCATTCATCGAGGTATAATACAAGCATAATGCACTGCCCTATATAAAGTGGACAGTTAGCTGTGCTTTGACAGGTGTGTACACCCATAGGATGTCACTCCTAATAGCCGGTGGTGACATGTCCCTTTGCCTGCCAATCCTCCCTTTGCTTCTGTCCTAGAAGACCACAGGTCTGCTGCCTGTTACCATGGATCATTTGTGTTTTCTAGGATTTTTTGTAAATGGAATCTCATGTACTTTGGGCTTTCAATTGACTCATAAGATCAAAGCCCTTAACTTTTTCTTTCACTTTCTGAAACAGTTTTATAATTCATTCTTTACTTTTATGGAGGCATCATAAAGGATGTTTCAGACTTCCTCTTCAGATGTTTAACCACTCAGTGAACATGGATTATGGTGTTTACAAGTGAACTTGTTCTTGACTCACTTAGAAAGTAGAATTGCACTCTCACCCTTGAGGTACTTTTTAACTTTAATACTGTGTAATTAATTCTATCTAAGGTTTCCAGTTACTATTCAAAGGTAATTTTCTTATATTTTCTTGAAATTAGTCTAAGCACAGGATTTTGTTTCATTTTTTAGTTTAACATTGTTTTCGAAATCTAGGAGTCACAATGTATGCTTGATTGCTTAGTGGTTCTTCAGTTGGTGAAAATAATGTTACTATTATAAAACTAAAGAAGCAAAATAATATTTATAAAAAAATAATATGAGAGGTCATATGGCAGTCTCAAATTCATAGGGAGAAAACCTAGTTGAATAGAGTCTTCAGAGATAAAGTGAGTACAGGAATGCATTTTAAGCATCTGAGCTGTACTCAAATAGAAATGGTGACAACATCTACATTTTTGCCTCGTGAGTTGTCTTTTTTTTTTTTTTTATAGTTCCAAACCACACCCTTGTTGCAGGTTGGCCTTTCTACTGAGACCAAGTTCTTTAGAGATTAAAATCTGTAGTAGTAGGCAGAACACCTCAGTGTGGGGTTAGTTGCCTGTTTTCTTTGGTCAAACACTGACTTTTTCCATAGAGGAGAATCAGAAGCAAGGAACAACTAAGGGAGGCTGAATTTTAAATTTCTCAGTTTGTTTTTCTGGACCTTCAAACCTCAGGTGATCAGCAGAAGCAGGTATGCAGATCTTTCCTTAGTAGTCAGTAGTGATTATATTCTCAGATCCTACTGCTGCTTTTTCAAAAAGTGGTTAATTGAGTTAAAATGCTTCACAGTATTTCTTTTTGAGTATTTTCTGGCTTGGAGATTTGAAGTGGCTTTGCATAATCAATACAAACCTTGGTGTGATTGTCATGTAATTCTTAATTCTCTCTTCACTCTTTTGGACATTATTTCTTCTGTAATAGTACCATTTGTTAGATAATGAAGGACTATTTTGGTGTATGCAAAGTTGGATTATGTTAAATTCATAATTCTTGGTTTGGATTTAATTTTACTTTTAGAAATGGATGTAAAATATTTGTAAAATTCTGTAGTGACTGAATATGCTCTTTCTGGGCCAATCCAGAGTGAACCTGCATTATTGCTGTAAGCCTGATGCTTTCAGTCTGATGAAACAGCTCTTCCAGTTTATAGTTTAATTATTGATAATCAAACTTCCCTTTTCCTAAGGAGATTCCACAGATATGTAAAACAAATGACCATAGAGAGCATCTCTAGTTCTAAGATGTGACAAGGTTTTGCCTGAGTGCATGGAGAGTAAAGCAGATATCTAAATCAATTGAAGAGAATTCTCTGTTGTTATTTTTGCTCTTCTACATTTTTAAGAACCAGGAGAGATAGTATCCTGGCTTAGAAGATTTTTTTTTTCCCCACCATTTTATTGATTTGGGGAAGGGACCTACGACGTTTAGAGTTTCCTCCTCTACAGTGTACACGTAAGCAGCTCACCTTTCACTTTGAGCATTTTTAATGGTTTCTGAGGTTGGTTGAAAAGCTATTTGTCTTTACCTTCCACAGCCCTGGAAGGCGTGGGAATCTGTCTTTACGTCTTTTCTTGGTAAAGCAGAAAATGAATAGTTCCCAGCCCATGTAAAGCTGAGAAGGTCTTGAATGATACATGTCGAGGAAACTTGGATACTGATACTACTGGCAATTTGAATAGATCTTAGTGCCAAAGAATTAAAGACTTGAGGTTTTTTTTTTTTAATAGCCACTTTTTAAAAGTTCTGTATGTTTCATTTGTGCAGTGACCTGAATTCTCAAACCTGAGTAGAAAGTTGGGACTTACCCGTTTAACCTTTGTGAACCATTTAAATTTATTTGTTGTAAAATAGGCTCTTCTTAGAGAAACCAACACATGTGTCTAGTTTATTTTGTATGGTGAACACGATGGAAAGAAAAAAATATAATATAGTTAAAAAAAAAAAAAACCAAACACTTCCCTTAGTGGCTTTTCTAGGCACCAGGATTGCCTCTCCTATATTATGCCTTGAGTCCAACAAAGGCTCCTTTGGTGCCTTTCATAATGAGCCAGCCAATTGCTCAATTGCGTTCTTGTGGAGGAAGGGATAGCGTTCCTTTATGATCCCCAGTTTAGATCAGCTTACCACCCAAAGCATGATATTTGATTACCCTTATTATGTTACTTTGCATAGCTACAAATGTTATTAATGGTGTGGCCTTATCTAGCCATTAAAAAAGTCCAGGTCCTTCAACTTACAGTGCTGTAAAAGGTTCTGTTGCTAAGGATCCTGGTAACAGGAGCCTGTAGAGGATGGGGCAGCACTGGGGTTAAGTATGCCCTGTGAATGCAAATACCTTCAACTCTCGAATGTTCCACTGAGTGCTGGCCTGTTATTTTTCTTTTTTCCTCTTTTAAGTACTGATTTTTAATTTCTAAAGTTCAATATTTCTGGGCCTCAATTGCTTTAAGAATTATAAGCTTACTGGCTACCGATCACATTCTTCTGTTAGAATTGAGGTTTCCATTTTTCTCTTTCCTAGCAAATGTTTCCAATGTGAAGTTCTGTCTTAGAGGACAGAGGAGGTGCTGTCATAACCACTAGAAGCAAATGGTGGAAGAATTCTTAATTCCTGGACCTAATCTAGCAGAGGTGGGAGCTGGGTTTTCTCTGGCTCTGCAACTCTGTCTCAATGGCCCCTGGGCTTTTTAAAATGTGTTTCTCCTTCATCAGTAAAAAAGCATGTATCCAAATTATAGGTTGAACTTCCTGAATCTGAGAATCCAAAATCTGAAATGTTCCAGATTTCATTCATATTAGGCAAGTGCTCTACCATCAAACTACATTCCCAGACCAAAAAAAAAAAAATCCAAAACTTTTTGACTGTGTCAATCACATACTAAAGCATACTAAAAATATTGTGTCACATTACCTTTAGGCTATGGGTATGCTGTGTATATGAAGCACAAAACAATTTCATGCTTAGGGATTGGATAGTTATAGCTCAGTGATAGAGCACTTGTCTAGCATGTGTGAGGCATTTGGTTTGATCCTTAGCACCACATAAAAATAAATAAATAAATAAAGGTATGGTGTCCATCTACAACTAAAAAAAAAAAAAAAAAATTTCATGTTTAGGTTTGGCTCCCACCATGGCTGGGATTAAAGGTCTGGCTGCTCGCCACTTAAAGACCAATATTTGGGAGACAGGAGTTGGCAGGAAGGAATCAGGTTTATTCAAGGACTAGTGATCTTGAGAAGATAGAGGAGCTGTCACCAAAGCTCTATCTTTGGGAGCTCAAGAGTGGAAGGGGCTTTTAAGAGGTTCTAATGTAAAGGAGATGTGGTGAGCTGTGGATAGGAAGGCTTCTGGCTGAGCAGGGTCCTCCTTCCAGGTGGGTGTCTCCTCTTCTCTAGCCAAGCATTGCAGTGGACTGGTTTCAGGAGGCTAGTTCTTGTGCTTTCTTTTCACACAGACACATTACTTTTCAGCAAGTTAATTGACATGTTTGTGTTAGTTGATGCACATAGCTGAAGTCTAAGGAGGGACAAAGGTCACCAGTTGTTCTGGGTTCTATAAATGTAAAGATAGATCATTCAACAATTAATCTCTTTTTTAAAAAAAAATTAGTTATAGATGGACATATTTTTATTTTATTTTTATGTGGTGCTGAGGATCGAACCCAGTGACTCACATGTGCCAGGCAAGAACTCTGCCACTGACCCATAACCCAGTCCCAGCTGTTAACCTTTTAATCTTTTAGGTGGGGTCCCTCTTTAGAATTTAGATTGCCAGGCAAAAAGGAGGGACATAAAAGGATTAGGCAGGGGAGGTGAAAATCATTTTGCCCTGGACAGCTTCCAAAGCCACTGCCTGTCATACCAGACCCTAGCTGTCTCATTATGTTGATGCAAATAATCTAAAATAAAAAATAAATGCAAAATCTGAAACACTTCTGGGCCCAAGCATTTCAGGTAAGGGATATCAACCTGCATATATGTTAATTTATTGTTATATTCGTGTTCCACTTACTGTATGTGTTACATGTACTAGAGCATATATAAGAATTAATTTAAATGAATATGATTTTTTAAATGCAATATTAATTGGAAGGATATCTCCTGGTGAAGTCTACACACAGGGTGCTATTTATTGTTAATGACTATGAAGGCAAAACTATATTTTATATCATTTTGATAATTTTGCAATTTTATTGTTAATTTGTTTATAGTTTGTTTTCTAAGGTAGCTGGTTAAGATGCATACTAGGATTCGAGGTGTCACCTATTCTGTTTACTTATGTTTATAGGATTAGTGCTTTTTTTTTAGTTTGTATTTTTTTCAAGCATCTTTTAAAGCTACTTGTCCATTTAGTAGGTTTGATAACAATCAGATTATATAATCCATGAATCCTGTCAACAGACAAACCATGGAACATCACAAATGTTGAACATGTACTCCAAGGAATTACTGAAGAGCAGGAATGATGGCCTGCTATCCAGCCTCTCCCTCTGTGGGTGTCCTGTCCTCTCCTGGCGTATCCCTTTAACTGTTTGGTGTCACCTCAATAATACTGAAAATACATGTTAAATATTTGTAAAGCTAATTTTGTTCCATTTTTAATTTTAAAAATAAACATAAGATGCTCTAGTATTTATTTCTTGTACTGCAGTGGCAGAGACTTTTGTTCTTGGTGACTCTAGTCTTCTGAGGAGACAAGGCTGCGGCCTGAGTTTTCTCATCTGTAAAAAAGGGGAAGTTGGACTAGATGCTTTTAAGGTGGTTGTTTGTTTTTTGTTTGGGGGGAGTTATGAGATTTTTCTACCCATGATAGATTTGTACCTTGTTTTGGACTGATCAATGCCTGTTAACTCATCCTCATTAGTAACACTCACGGCTTAGAAGTTGTTTGGAGTTTGGTTCAGTAGTATGACAGGCTTATTGGGATTTGCTTTTGAAATCAAGATTTTGAAAATATTGGTTACGCCATAATCAGAACTGTCTAAAAGCCTTCTTTCTCTTCACAGTCACTCGGCTGAACCATGGCCCTCGCAGGGGAATCTTTGTCAGACTCCGTGTTTGAATGTTCTCCTTTTTTCCTCCTGTGGAATTGTTTGTTCATCAGTGGACTTGAATTATGGTTGTATGTGTAATTTTGCCTTTTGTGAGGTCCAGCTGTTGATGACCAAGTCTTATGCTAGCAAGTCTTGCTGATTGTTTTTCACTAAAAAGGTTGAATTTTGTTGAGAATAGGGAGAACATGTACTCCAAGGAATTACTGAAGACATTTTTTTTTTCCCCAAGGAAAGAGTTTAGAATCCCTGCAGCTGGAGTGGCCAGCCCCAAGCCCCTGGACCTCTATGAAGTCCACAGTGGGCATGTGGGTGGCCTGTGTGGTTTGGACACTACCTGAGATCATGGGTGAGAATCAGATCTATGTGCAGTTTTCTGAGTAGGGTCCATTGCCTTTTATCAAAAAGGTTAAAAATTAAAAAACCTTTACGAATCAGTGCTGTAGGGGAAATGTAAGCATTTCAGATAGAACCTTCTGTTCACCTAAATTGATGTTTAATTTCCAACCTCATTTTTGTCATGTTCATATGTGTTCTGCTGTCCACGGCATCTTATGACCTTACTATGAAAGTCTGTAGTGGATTAACAGTACTGAATATGTTGGATCCGTTATGCTTTATTTCCACAGATTTAGGTACT